TATTGATAAATGTCAAACAATTTGTATGGGCATGGATAATGGGATAATTGATCAAAAAATGAAAGTGAAAAAACCACTAGTGCATTTTTCGCTGGAAAAGATGCAGGTAACTTTTGCCGCTGTCAAAGTGACAATTGCACTGCGGCTTATGCGATTTTTTATACATGAGTTGAATTGTCGCTGAAATACCACACGTGAAATTATCGCTGAAATACCACACGTGAAATTATCACTATAATTCGTTCCCATTGGCGCAGCAATTTGAAACCGAGACATTTCACTGGTTGAAATGTGACAAATGTTAGATGAATTGAATAGTCATTGATATTTATCATGATATATATCGTGGATATATACCATGAAAATATCTGCCATCCCTGCTTTATACCAAGCGCCTAATATTTTGAAAGCAATTGATATATGCTTGACAATTTGTCATGCATTATCCCTCAGAGTGCGAGCATATTTGGTTATTTATACAAAGAGCCATTTTACCAACTAAATACCGAGTTCGATAATTCTCCCGGTATTAGAATATAGATAGCAAACAAAGTTATTCTTAGAATAAAGTAAGAAATTAGACCGTATCTTCTTTTGTTGATATATTTTAATAAATATGCAGTGCGTTCATTGTAATAAAAGGGTAACTAGCAAACAAATGTTTTTAAACCATTCATCAGCATTGTAGCCAATGGACTTGTGGTAATATCCTTTGTGAAAGAAAATTCATCATTGCGGAGACACATTATGGTTTGTGAATCAAAAAATTATCACCCTAATAACAATAAATTGGAAATTTCTACTACAAATGTTGATGTCAATATTGATGAAACAAGGTGTGCAGAGTCTTCAATCACAGAAGTAAATGAAGGTAATAAGTGTACCCAACGAAATTAAATTTTTAGGACTCACCTTTGATAGGGAATTAAGATGGATCAAGCACTTGGAGAACCTACTAACATCAAGTAGGAAATCGTTAAACGTTTTAAAAGTACTATCTCACCTCAAATGGGGGGCTCATCCTAAATCCCTTCTCGATATATATATAAGGCATTGATCCTGTCACGCATTGATTATGGGTGCTATAGTTATTCCACGTTGCTGAGTAAACTGGATAAAATTCAAAACCTAGCAATTAGGTATTCCCTTGGGGCCTTTCCCACGAGTCCCGTCAGTGCTCTCAACGTCGAAGCGAATATTCTACCGCTTGCTCTTCGTCGAAAGCAGTTAATAGTCAACTATTATCTGAAAGTACGTCTGAACGATAAACATCCAAATTATAATTTAATGACCAATAGAACAAGACCTACACGTTTATATAAAATTCAAGGGGAAAGAGCAAGACAATGTGTAGAGGAGTTACATTTGCAGTATGGTAACATTGTAGACCTCACGAAGGTGGCTGTGAAGCGAAGTGTGTATGAGCGCTGACAGAAGCAGTGGACGCGGACCGATACATCATTGAAAAGAGTTAAACCAAATATTGGGCCACTATTTTTACTAGACGTGGAACAGTTGCACTCGACAAAGCTGTATCGGCTCCGGTTGAGACACACTGCTCTAACGCACAGTTATTTGCTGAAGGGTGAAGTACCACCCTTGTGTAATAGATGTGGTGCCAACTTAACACCTGAGCGCATACTCTGTACCTGTGCAGCGTACCAAATCTCTTTAAAATTAATGTGATATGGGAAACCAATTTTTCTAGTCAGGATTGCTGTCAAAGAATATTAAGATTCATACGGGGTATCGGAATTTTGAATGAACCGTGATAATCTGTGATATTAGTATGTACGTAAATGTCGCCTAGTTCTTGTACGTCTATATCTTTGTCTATAGGGCGATAGGCAAATGGCCTCAGCAGCCGAAGCCTTAGGTGGGGTTTTAGTGGGTATTCCCAGCAAACGGCTTGCAGAGTGTGCATAAGATGCATTTCTCCACTTATACAAAAAAAAAATCCTTTAAATTTAAATACTCATGACAACGTTTTTCATTATTATTTGCAGTTTATCTCAAAATTATATAGCAAATCAGTTTTCACCCGTTCTATTGTCCAGACAGTTGTCGAAGATAGCTTTGAGTTATTAACTCAAGTCATGCAAGACCAAATAAAACCTCTCATTACAAACATGGATGAAGTTGTACAAAATGAAATTTTGAAAAATTCGCTTCCAGCATCTTGAAAATAAAGAGCATTTTCCATTTGGAGCAGACAGTTTTCACATGATTCCGTGAACAACCACAGGAGTGGTATGCCACCGGTATACAGCGTCTTGTGAAGCAGTGGGATGCCTGCTTTTGTAGTAATGGCAATTTTGTTTAGCCTTATATGTAACACCGCTCGAACGTGTATTTATTGAACCTGCCTCGTAACATGCTACCACTACAAACCACAGACCAAGTTAATGAGGCAGAAAATTTGCTTCAAGATGGACCTCATTTCATTGGTGAGTGAGTACCTACAATAATATATATTATCTAAAAATGTTTAATATTAATTCATTTTAGATACGCTTATTGTACGTAGTAGGTGGTGATACATTGCTAAGACTGTAAATCTCATTATGAAGAAGCTATTAAATCATGAGGTTTCGGTTTTATATTCCGGTGTTTGGGAAAAAACATAAACTTCCTTTTTGCACCTTAAAAATGTATCAAGCTGTCCAAGGTATTTTCATGTATAAAAAAATGTGCTAATATCTTGTGCGGCTGATCTTAATCTATGGGACCTGGATTACTAGAAATGCAGAACTATTAGAAAACTTAATAAATTTGTTTATTCTTCATGCATCTACTATTTAGCATTCATTCTTTTGTAGCAAGAATAGTACCTATAGGCATCGAATAAGCACCTTAAAGAAGTATGACGCCCGTGTTAACTGATGAAATAAGAAAATCTCCCCAGGATTCTGTCGTCCCTCTGTTGTGGGGGAAAGTGAACCACAAATTTAAAGCTGGTTACCGACTTCTTTACTTTACTTCTTTAACATTCCAACGTTGCCAGATTTTTGGCAAGCGCTTTGAGTTTGAATAAACTAGATTAAAATATTGAATAAGCTTTTATTCAATGCCAATAACAATATTATGTAAGGGAGGATCAATCTGAAATGTAAGATCATAAGGAACAATAAATAAAGTAAAAAATGTAGTTTAATCTAATAAGAAAACAACAAGAACTGTTCTAAGGACCATTATCTTTACATAATAAACAATCAAACTTTACCTAGCTCCATATAAGGATCTGGTAATTTTAGGCACATTAATGACCTCAGTAATTAATTTCAGATTTAATGTTAGAATGCGGACTTTCATTATAAGTAATTACTAATTAGGTAGGGTGGTACCATTGAATAAGCACCTTATATAAATTGCACAAAACTTAAAAATGGATTTCGCAGGATCTTAAGTCAAACGTGACGTATAAAAGAAAGATCACTAACATCAATAATAAATAATTCAATTTCAATGTTATTATGTCAACAACAAACTACATAGATATAAAAAAAATTGATGCAAATTTCTAATTACATTCGCTTCAATAAAACGGACTAAAGTCTGTCTAAAATTGACGCGAAGTAATAAATTATAAATTGGTGAAATAGAAATAGTATTTTTGTATGGAAGTGCTTCTCTGTCTCTGTCTATCAACTAAATTTATTACTTCGCCTCAATTTTAGACAGACTATAGGTGCGTTCGTTTATCCGTGCTGAACACTCTTTTTGTTCTAAACCGTTCGTTTATTGATGCACCTGAAAACTAGTTGACACTGTAGCGTTCTTTTATTACAAAACGGAGTAAATGGAGTTAACTCCATTCACTCCATCTCATGAGAGGGTGCAGATGGAAACAATCGGCGTGATCACGTGGACGGTGTTTATTTTAACCTAAAAAAATACGAGCCACGTTTGTCAGCCTTTTCATTTTTTCTATTACGATGAATATTACAACGCATTCACATGATGTTGTGTACGACGAACCAACAGGGGGTGTTATTACTAATGAAAATGGGGATGTACTCTTATCTCAAATAAGCGGTAAGAGTCCTGTGTGCATAATGCATTTCTTTTGTTAAAAATTATTGTATTAATTTAAGATGGGACCTTGATGTATGTGCCCCGTGAAGAGGTAGCTGAAATCTTTCAATTGACCTTTCAGCATGAGACAACTGAGGGCACAACTGTACCCCAAGATTGTATAGAAAACGAACAGGTAAGATTTCCGTAGAATAAACCAGCATACACTTTGCAGGCAAATCTTATTGTAATGACGAATATCTAAGTATTGTATATGAAATATTACCATTTTAGGATAATCCATCTCTTGGGGATTACGAAACTGATGAAACGGCATCGACAGATAAAATGAACTGGTCACGACAAAACACATTGTTATTTAATTTATCAGATCAAAAACAGAATAGATGACTTTGATAGTACATTAAAAAAGATAGTGTGGGAAAAAATTGCTACAGCACTATCAAAGGCGACCAAATTAACCATTACATCCAAAGCTTGTGAAGGCAAGGGGAAAAGTCTCAAACGCACATACAAAACCGTTGTGGATCATAATAACAGCACAGGACGCAACCGAAAAACATGGGAGTATTTCGAAATAATTCACGATATTTTATATAAACGTCCCGAAGTTAACCCTATTGCTACGGCTAGTAGCAGTGCAGGCATAAAAACAAGCAACGGATCTCCTTCTACATCTTCACGATGTGGTACACCTACAAGCTCAGGACCCCCTTCACCAGCAGAAGTGAGTGATTTTGAAAAAACACGGAAACGAAAAGTGTCTATGATAGACCAACGACACAAGGAGAAACTTGCCAGACAAGACAAATTTTTGAATTTATTTGAACAATTAATCCAGAAATTGTAAGTTACGTTACTTAAGAATAGAATTTATTCATTTTGAACACTTATTAATAGAATATCGTTATTTTATCTTTTTATTATCTTATTATTTCTCGTTTATTACATAATAAAAACTATATTTAATTGTTAAGTATCATTGCCAATGAATTCATAATCTCCTGTCGTTTTGCTATTGCCAAGTTATTTCTAAATGCTATGTTGTGTATTTCAACATCATTCATTTCCCTTTCTTCTGCTATTTCTACAGTTATGTCTATCAATTGTCTAAATTCATCCTTGCATAGAATGCATAAGTTATGCAGGATTGTTGCTGCCATAATCAATAATACAATATATTCGAGCTTCACAGTTTCTATGTATTTCAGTCTTCTAAAGCGACCTTTAAGGAGAGCAAACGCGTTTTCAATTACAACTCTTGATTTACTTAACACAACATTAAAATGTTTTTGTTGCCTAGATAACCGACCGGTATCTTTAAAGGGAACCATTAAAACAGTTTGTAAAGGGTACGCTTTGTCCCCAAGTAAGTAAAACTCTCCTACATAGGCAGCACCTGTACTTATATTATTACACAAATCTGATCGCTTGAATAATGCTGCATCGTGTACAGATCCGGGATAGCCGGTGTAGACATCAGTAAATAACATATCTGCATTGCACACAGCTTGCAACAACACAGAATGATAGCCCTTTCGGTTTATGTATGACGTGTGATGGTCCTTTGGCGCATTAATCCTAATGTGGCTACCGTCAATGGCTCCAATTACTCCTAGAAGAATGGATTTAAATACCTAATGTACGGGATTTCTACTAACCTCTCATTCCAAAATGTTGCTGAAAACTGTTACATGTAACTTGCAAAGAATTGGGCGATGGCCATGCAATCAGTCGATGTTGCAAACTTAATTGTACAAGCATATTACAAATCTTGTAAAGTACCATCCAACAAGTGGAGTTACTTATACCAAATCGATTGGCAACAGATCTGAAAGACGGTAGTTGTTAGAGAACAACCGGAACTTTAAAATCTTACCTGATGCTTTCCATGTTTGCCAAATACCACACCACAACCATGCACCCTTTTTCAATACTTATTTCGGGCCGGCCTGGACATACAACACGTTGTTGGTCATTCATAAACATACCGTGAAGTTTTTGTAGTAGCACTTCGAAAACGTTGACATCCATACGGAAATGGCGTTGAAATTGCCGGCTGTTCATCGATGGTACAATCACTTCAGCAAATGAATATATTTTTGGCTCATTGTTGTGATCATCATCATCTGAATCACTGTCAAAGAATAACAAATTGGCACCCTCGTGGAGGACTACAGACAAAAGAATTTTTTTGTTGTTGTCCATTATTGCTATACTTTAAAGTTGAGTGAAGGAATCCGTATGCTTCACTCAAGTTAAATGCAAACTTGTAAATAATAAAGAATGTCGAGATTGAGGTTATGTTAGTGCAGCTCGGTCCCATCCCACACCGTTCGTTTATTTTTAGCGATCCATTTGCTTCATGTATCACGTGATCTTTGTGCTGCTCGATCTGTTCTACTCCGTGAACGAAAAAACGAACGCACCTTATGCCTTGTACACATCTACGCTGCAACGTGTAATGCAATAGTACGAGAGCCCACGACCAAAACCATGTCTCATAGCAATACGGCAAAAACCCTATAAAATCGTTAGATTGTATGATTCTGAACCCGACTAGGTGTGTAGTAACGGTCGAAAGTGTAGCAACTGCGTGGGAGGCCATTTCTGCTGTGTCAAAAAAAAAGGCAGTCGGTATTATAGCAATACGTCTGATTGTGAAAATGTACATAGATTTTATAATTGTATTACGAAAAAGTTTGTTTTCAGACATTTTGCGCGTAGCATATAGCCTGAGCGCATTTTTGAAAATGTCAACAAATTTAGCCGACCTGTATCATAGCAATACGGATAAATTTTTTTTTAACTTTTCGTATTGCTGCCAGAATTACCAAAAACCTGTTTTCAGACACTTTAAGTGTAGCATATACTCCCAAAAACGAAAATAACGTTTCGGAGTCGCCTGCCCGACGCCTCAGCGCTTGTTACGCTCCTGCGGCGGGTACGGCTTTTCGCGTGTTACGGTCCTGCCCCTTTCTTACTATTATACAGCTCACTCGGCAGCTGATCCAAACGTTGGAACGACGCTCACTTAGTTGTCATGCGTTGTGCGGTTGTGGTGGTGTAAAATGTCGGACCTGAGTTGTGTGTTTTGTAAAGAAACAACGATTGAGAAAGGGAAAAAATTTACCGAAGAGACGCTGAAAAAGTGCAAAGAAGTGGCCGAATATCGGAGTAAAAAGCATAGAGTAAGCAGGAAATCGATTTACTCCGAAATCGAGTTGCCACGTGGTGTCGACACGGACATAGGATACCATTCGGCGTGCTACAAAAATTTCACGGCTGTGAGAATTCCGAAGGATTCAAATATTTCTCACGACAATGTCGTCAGTAATGTTTTTGATGACGGTGCATCGACATCCAGAGCGAGGTAAGAATGAAATATATATGCAATATATCTTTGAGGAGCGTTGGTGTAAAGTGCGTCGTGCACCACGTGGTCGCTGTATGGGTGAGCCTCGCACATTTGTGTGCGCGCATCGTACACAAGCCAACGCTTCGCTACTGTTGCAAAGCATTGAGAACACAAGAAACGCGAGAAACGATTGATTTTCTAATATTTTCAATACATTTTTTTAAATCGCCAAGAAATTGCTTCTTATTTTTTATTTTAAATTAAGGTGATTTTATTTTCACGATAATATTTATTTTGGAGCATATTTAATATTTCGAATTTGTCACATTACAGTGAAGAACCTGAAGGTGATCGAGGAGCGGACGAGAGTACGACAGCGGACGACAGTGCGTTAGCGGACGACAGTACGGTAGCTGTCGGCAATACGGTACCTGATGACAGTGCGGTAACCGATGTTGCTGACAATACGGCAACTGATGATTCGACTGCCGATGAAAATACACACAGCTGTATTATTTGCGGTAAATACAGGATATACGTGAAAAGACGCGCGGTATGTTTGATAAAAGCGACCAACACTTTCATCGAATTTATTAAGGCCGTGTCCACCGAGTACAACAACATCGAGATGCTGCGTAAAATCGAAACTCTCAAAGATGACAACTGCTTCTATCACAAACATTGCAAAACAAAGTTTGAATGGCACTGTAAGAACGATCTCGAGAAAAAAAAAGAAAAAACTTGGCACAAAAAACGACAATGTCATACTGACGCGTATGACAAAATTTGCATACTTATTCGCGAACGCGTAGTTGAGAACAATGAATGTCTCTTTTATAATTTCATCTCAGAAAAGTACATCGAGTTCCTGCACGAACAGTTTGACAACGTCTCCAACGTCGAAAAACCGGATTTTTTTTCGTCGCGTCATTTGGAAAAGAAGTTATTGGTAACGTTCAACGCTGAAATAAAAATCATTTTCTCGGACAACAAAAAGTATATCGCTCCATACGCTGGTCACATCGTCAGCAATCAAGAATTTTTCAAAAACATCGAAACGAGACAAGTGATATACAACATCGGACAGATAATCAGACGAGAGATAATTAACGTGGACAAGACAAAATTACCGGAGGATATAACGGTGCAGGATCTCATCCGAGGTGAATGCGATTCTGTGCCACCGTTGCTATCGTATCTCTTGCAGTGTATCATTTGCGGTGATAGTAAAGGCGTAAGTCAATCTCGTCATGAATTAAAGAAATCCTCGCGCGACTTAAAAATGTTTTCCCTCGGTCAGGACATTATTTATGCAGCTACGAACGGCACTATTAAAACCTCGAAACATGTCACTCTGGGAATGGCGTTAAAGAGTCTCTCGAGCAGCAGGAAAATTGTCGACCTTGTCAACAAATACGGTCACTGCTGTAGCTACAATGTCATCGAAGAGCTAGAGACTGAGCTGACATTCACATCAACGCAACAGAACAAATGATATCCCGAAGACATAATTCTCGCCGATAATTTGTGTACTGGAGTCGCGTTCGATCACTTCGATCGGTTCGTCGATACTCTCACTGGTAAAGACACTCTCCACGACACTGTCGGGATAATTTACCAAAATATACCTAGTGACGCAAATTTTACCGCTCCAACCGACGCTTCTGTACAAAGTGATGATACTGCAGCCGCGTCAACAGATGAAACGCCGCGAGGTCGAAAAAGAAGAAGATGTTTCGACGCTATCGTCAACGAAATCGTACCTTACACGAAAAAACCAAAAATCGATTCCTACTTCTCAACTCCCAGTATCGGTCAAATCTCAATCAAACCTGAAGTTTTTAAGACGTGGAGGAACCTTGATCTTGCTTGGCTTTTTTCACACAAACTGGACATTCCCGATACCCCTATGTGGACTGGGTTTAATAGCCTCATAACTGAAGACACCTCTGCTTTGCAGAAAGTATCGTATTTGACGCCTATCAATGCATCTCCTACAGATAATTCCGTAGTGCACCTCACTTTGAAAATGGCTCAACAAGTAGCTGAAGAATGCAGTTCGGAATACATGCAAGTGACGTACGATTTAGCTATTGCAAGAATTGCATTCGGAATTCAGTCCCAGGAAGCGCCGAAATTCGACAACGTTTTCATACATCTCGGCGGATTTCATATAATGATGTCATACTTCAAAGTTATCGGCTCTTTCATTGAGGATTGCGGTATTACCAATATTCTGGTGGACAGTGAAGTTTTGGCGAATGGTTCATTGAAGGGTTTCATTTCAGGTACAAATTTCAATCGATGCAAAAGACTACATCCCCTTGTATCGCTCGCGTTTCAAAAACTGCATTTCGATACCTTCGTCGACCGTGAAAAAATTGTCATCGAGAAATCAATTGAAGATTATTTGTTTCAATTACAAAAGCAACGTTCAACGACGCCTACAATAGAACACGAAGCAACTCTCGAATTGTTCGAGAAGTATGACAACTTTACCGAACAAACATTGCAAGGAAAGCATGGACTAACTGCTCAGTTTTACACCGTTTACATCCGATTAGTGTCCTATTATGACATGCTGAACAAGAGTATTAGAACCGGAGATCTGAAAATGTATGTTTACATTCTTGCAAAAATCACAAACTTTTTCTTCGCTTTCAATCACCAAAATTATTCTCGTTGGCTGGTATATTATGTCAGCAAGCTGTGCAGCATCGACGAAACCCATCCAGGACTGCGTTTCTCATTAGAACAAGGATCATTCGGAGTACGAAGAACGGAGAAATCTTTTTCCAGAATACCTGTTGACCTGACTTTGGAACAAACGATTAACGGCGAAGCAGCTCGGAGGCTAATCGGAATTATTCACATGACAAATTCGGTGGCTGCAAGGCAACGTTGGGCAATAAATCACAGTGCTCGAGCTCGAATAATATCACATGTGCTGAAAACCGCTGGAATCGCCAAGAATCAGGATATCTCCTCGGAACTGAAGAGTTCTCGCATTCGAAAGAGTCACCAGCAAGTTGAGAAATTCACAAGGACTTTACAACAATACATGAATCCTTTCGACAATTCGTTAGACGCTGATAAGTTGTACAACATCACAACTGGAGAAGCTGCTGCACAAAATACCACTGACTTTCTGCTCAACGTCGAATCTCGAGGAGAAACTTTGCGCGATAATTTCATAACCGAGGTAAAAGAGAGACATGCACGTTTTCAAGAACCAATAAAAAAGAATCCAGTCTTCACATTCAGCACGGTAAAGAAAAAGAAAAAAGTTGTACTCGGTGGCAAGGTTCAAGAATTGAGGCTACAAAGAGACTTATTTGGGCGGCTTTTAGCTTTGTCCTTGGAAAAAAAAATAAGTATCGAAAAAGTGTTGTGTTACCCGATAACCCCAATGCCGCTATCACTTTGTCACATGGACGGTACAATAAATAAAACCGACAAATCAGCATTGATGCGAGACCTTGAAAAAAAAATCGAGAGCACGGAGCCAGAGTTTACAGATGTTTTGATTATCGATGGGTTCTTTTTACTGCACACCTTAAAAGACATACCACGAACATTTGGAGATATCTCGAAAAAAATTTTGCACATTTTGTGCAAACATAATGTTGAGAGGATCGATCTGATATTCGACAGGTATTTCTGCCCGTCGATCAAGGACACGGAGCATGGATTGCGAGAAAACGTAAAATCGGCCGATTTTCGAATCTCAGGACCGCAACAAGTTCGACCTTCCGATTTCGCTAAAGAATTGAAAAACATCAAATTCAAAGATGCTCTGGTCAAATTTATTATCAACAATTGGTCAGAACAAGACATGGCGCACATAATCGCAAACAAAATCATCAACATCAATCACGACATGTGTTATGAATATTCGGTGAAAGGTGGTTTTGTTATCCAAACAATCAACGAAGATCTAACTTGCCAAGAACACGAAGAGGCAGATACGAAGATCGTTTACCATGTCTGCCAAATGAAACAACGGGGTCAAGTAACGATTCGATGTTCAGACACCGATATATTAATAATAATGCTCGGAAATATGGAATTTGTAGAAAGTGTCGTCCAAATTTCTATGGATGTTGGTGTTGGCAATTCCCGGCGTTACATTGATGTTTCACGTTTATACGAGACATTGGGATCCACTCTGGCAAAATCTTTACCTGCTTTCCATGCAATGACCGGCTGCGATTATAATCCCGCGTTATATCGCAAGGGTAAAAAAAGACCATTGACGATGTTGAAAAATTCGAAACGCTATCAAGAAGCTTTCGGTGATTTGGGCAGCTATACTTCTGATAGTGACAAGGTATTCCCCGTTTTGGAAGAATTCACGTGCAGATTGTACAACGAAAAAAAAATTAATAACGTCGATTTAGCTCGACTCAACATTTTTTCGAAGACATATAAAATTAAAAACGACGATGCTTCGACAACTCTGAATCTCCAGTTATCCAATTACGACGCCTGCAATCTGCCACCATGCAAAACGGAATTGGAGAAACATTTATTACGAACAAAATATATTGCACAAGTCTGGAGCAACGCTCATAAAAAAACGCCAACCGAACTGAACCCTGCAGATTGCGGATGGTATGAAGACGAGGGACGATTTCAGTTTTCGTGGTTCTCCGGCAACCAACTACCTGAGTTGAGCGACGTTATTTTGGACGACATATCATCATCCACAACAGGTACAGTTTACATGGCTTTTGCTGTTAATTTCATAAATAAGTTCGTGATTTTTACTAACGATGTTTATTTTACAGAAGATGACGTTGAAGATCTCCCGAGCGACGTCGAAAGTGATTTCGAAGACGACGATTCCGAATCCGACAGCGATTGAATACGAGAATATTTTATAACTTTGAATAAACCGTTTTTTTTTCAACTTCATCCCAGTTTCCTTTTGTGCGATTTATTTCAGTCCTTCAACTTCAATGTTACGGTTTCGGGTAAATTCTTTGTTAATTATCATCTAATAAATTCAGGGTCGCAACGTATTCATTGGTTTGTAACAGAGAATTCAAGATGCCTCAATACGATTTTTAAATGATATCTGAGTATCGAAAAGTTGTCTGATAGAGAAGGTGCTACACTTAATTTGTCTGATATAAATTTTTTGCACATGTGGACAACTTATTTTATCATGTCCAACAATTTTCAGACATATTGCTATGATACCGATCGGTAAAATTTGTTAACATTTTCAAAACGGTCTCAAAATTTAATGCGTTCACATTTCCGTCTGAAAATTGTTTTGTTCGCATCAAATATCCAAAATTTACTAATAAAAAAGATTTTCAGACGTATTGCTATGAGACATTTTTTTTGTATCATTTTTAATTTTTTTAAGTGATTTTACGGGTTTGCGCTACACCACTAACGTCTGAAAAATATGTTTCCGGTATCTCAGAACTATCATTCAACTACAGTCTGCAAATCAGACATATTGCTATGATGCAGTTCGGTAAAATTCTTTGACAATTTTGAAAATTCGGTCAGATCAAACGCTACGCGGAAAATGTCTGATATTGGTATTTTCGAGTTCAGGATAATCGTATCTATCGATTCGATGCGGTTTTGGCCGTATTGCTATGAGACAAAAATTTTGGTCGTGGGCTCTCGTACTACAACGTGTAATGCAACATGTAATGCAACCAATGTGGACAGATGTTGCACGTTGCAGCTCTTGTTGCAAAACGTGTTCGCTCGCGATCCGATCATTGTCGGTTTTTGGCGCGCCATCAAAGGAAATTTCAGTTGCAGTGTGGACGGCGTTTATCGTGCATGTGCATTCGTACAAACTATATATCCGCGCATTTGAAAGATGGACGATTGGGACGAGGAAAAAGTGCTTCTCCTTATTCAACTGTATCGGGAAAAAGAAAACATATGGAATCCCCGAAATGAAAATTATAAGAAAACGCATTTAAAGGTAGATACCTGGAATGAAATTGGAGACGCTCTCGCCAGTACGGGCGAAATTTGCAAAAAAAAGATGACAAGCGTTTTATCGTCGTACAGACGTGAGAAAGCGAAAGAAACAAATACACATGGTACTGGAAAAGGTAAATATGAATCTCTTTTTTCATTTACGTAAAAAAAACTATACTGATTTTTCATTTTTTAATAGTTGAATTTGTTAATAAAATTGTAGTTTTAAAGATACATTTTTAGGTTCAGCGGAAGTATACAAAAGCAGATGGTTTGCGTATGATGCTCTGGCCTTTCTGAATGAAAGAAACCAACCGCGAAAACGATCTAATACCGTAAGTACCTACTATTTATATTTTACGCATATAGATTTTGCCATGAAACTTTCCCTTCGTTAATAAAATAATCCCCTAGCTCATGTCGAATATGATCGAGGGCAAGTGATGTTCTTCTGGGCACGTTTTTAAGTGAAGTCATTGATCTGCCTTCATTATCGTTCCTCCATGTTCCAGGGGTAACATTTCCGTCTATTTCTTTATCTAAGGATCCCGGAGGAGTATAAATATTGCGTGCGTTCCTCCTTAAATAATTGTGGAGGTAAGCAATAGTCATTACTACTAGTTCGACCTTTTCTGGTTCCAAAACGATTGGTTTTCTTAAAATACGAAATACAGATGATGTTATACCGAATACGTTCTCAACTACCCTACGCGCCCTACTTAAGCGGTAATTGAAGATTCTTTTCAAAGTACCAGCCGCATGTTCTCCAGAAAAAGGCTTTAACAAATTTTCTGACAATGCAAATGCGGAATCGCCCAAAAAGAAGTATGGCAAAGCTTTTACTCGTCCAGGTAGTGGTGTGGGTTCTGGTAAAAATAAATCTCCTCTCTTCATTTTTTTACCCAATACGCTATCTTTAAACACTCCTCCATCTGATATCCTTCCCTGGCAACCCGTGTCAATAAATAAAAAATTGTAATCGGCATCGACTAGCGCGAACAACACGATGCTAAATGTTTGCTTATAATTGAAAAATTCGCTTCCAGAATTGAATGGGGCTTGAATTACCACATGTTTGCCGTCCATACTACCCAAACAATGCGGAAAATTCCACTGAGATTCATATTCTTCTGCTATTTTTATCCATTCATTAGGAGAATCGGGCAACTGAAATAAAAAAAGGTATGGTTAAGTTCTGTATCGTTAACACATTTTTAATTGCAGGTCATTGATGATGAAAAAAACGTAAACGAAACATCGGCGGAGGAAAAGGTCGATCAAGCAGAACCACGTTCTGCACCAATACCACCCAAGAAGAAACAACCCACCGACTAAAAACTGGACTTATTGAAGCAATCATACGGAATATTAAAAGCGGCCTCAGACAACGTTAATTCACTTTCTAATCAAATGAGTATTCAGAATGAAGAGGTTCGGTATTTTTGTGGATTCATTGGAAATAAAATGTCTAAATATTCAGACATAACTAGAGCTTCAGTTCAACATGCAATTCACAATATCATTTTTCAAGCTGACCGTGGGTTCTATGAGGCCACCTATACCGGAAACATGCACTACATGGGACCATCTACATCAACTACTTCATTTGCACAACATATACCAAATACATATTCGAATAACACGAATTCATTCTTTAATCAACTACAGTCAGGACAAATTCCCGGGCAGCATTCTTCCACACTTCCGACACCGACAGCTGAAGTCCCCACACCATCTCCATGTTCATCTTCAGTACATTCATACACTCAGATCTCTGAAGAAACATCACAATCTGAAGAACCTCAGTTTGAAGATTTACTCTAATGCATAACTCATAAATTCAAATAGATTTGTAATTTAACATGAAATACAGTTTTGGTACTTACTTTTATTTCATGTCTTAAACCTTGTGTTAACGCAGCACAGACTTCAGGAACAATTCGACTTATCGCTTGTTTCGATATTCTGAATAAATATTGCAGACTGGAGTAGGAGTCTCCACTTGCTAAGAAACGTAGGGTCACAGCTAACCTATCCTGCACAGATATCGCCTTTCTGAAACGCGTATCTTTCTTTGCTATTTGTGGGCCAATTAATTGAATCAAATATTCAAAGTCTGAACTAGACATGCGAATGAAATTTTTATATTGACCGCTTAACTCCTGGGATTTAAGATCTAACATCAAAGTAGCTCCACATCGTTTTTTATATATGTCTGTTCTCCACCATCTTCGCGATTTTTTATCAGTCACTAATTCTTGCATTATAATGAAAGCACCACATGCTAAGGTAAAATGTTGTAACGTCTCAAGAAGTTGAGCGTCCATGTTCACGCACGAGCATACACTGCAACAGTGCAACAGAGTGGAAACGATATTTACATGAGTTCGCGCCAAATTGTTGCACTACAAAACAAATTTCGTCCACATTGCATTACATGTTGCATTACACGTTGCAGCAGCGTAGATGTGTACACGGCTTTATAAGTACCGAAAGACTCGTTGCAAAAACATAAAATAAAATAAAGATACTTTTCGATATGTCGAATATTGAGTTGGAGAGTTGCAAATAAGTGTGGCAACGCAGCGGAGAACACACGAGAGAGCGTGTGGTTAGTTAGTGGTTATTGCAGGGATCCTCTGTAATGGCGCGTTGCGTTATATAGTAGAGAGTTGCTTGAGTGTGGTTCGATTTAATAAAGAGTTTGTTTTCTCGGTTATATCAACGCTTGTGTTGTTTGTTATATCCGTTCAGCCACTCCTACACGATTATAACAAGAAATATGCAACACTAAACTCTGATAAACAGGAAAACAAAGGACCCCCTAAGTATAACTGGTTTCGCCTGTTTAAAAATAGGCATTTTTTACCGCCCGAGGCCAAATATCCTTCAATAGTAATTAACCACTTTGCAGTGTATGCAACACACCTTACACCAATTTCAGGTTTTCCTATGTAGTTATACTTCTTTAAGGTGCTTATTCAACGCTATAGTATCTATTATGACTGATGATGATTACTTCACTCATTGGAAAAATAAAACTCAAAAATTATTAAACTATGTTCGTGATACCAACAAGAAGAAGTCAAGTGATGGATATCGATATTTTTATTCATGTCACAGAACGTATTCTTCTGGACTGGATCCTAATCTAATAAAAGTGAAGTCAAAAGGAAGTGGTACTAATAAAATAGGAGGTGCATGCCCTTCAAGGCTTATTGTAACAATTAGAAATGAAAGGGTTTTCACCATTTTTTATCCTGACGTTGGACACACTTGTGAAGTTGGTGGATTACTACTCGATGAAGAGGATAGAAATAAACTAGCTGGTAACAATATTTTTAAATTCTTATGTAGCAATATTTGATTAAATAACTTAAGGTCCAATCATATCTAAACATATCTATCTAGAAGGGAAAACATGCAAACGGCTGGATAAGACCATTCATGCTTTAATAAACCTTGTTAGGGACAAAATGTTTGAGCGGATTATTAAATTTTCAAAGTATAAAGTGACTAATAAAATAAAGCGAATTAGAGACGGCCATAATCGTGGAAGTTGCATTCCTTTGGAATTGTTAAAACAGTGTGATGATAAATGGTTAGTGGTGCCTTCACAAGAATCCATTCCAGTCATGACTATGTTTTAGAACACAATAGCGGTGAATGTAAATACTCCTGTGAACTTAAGTGTAGTACCTATATGTAAAATTTGTGTACATACGTTTAGATTTAGTTGTTTGGACAATGTTATAAACTTTAATATTTGTAAACATATTCACGCGGTTTGTATCCACTTTTATAGGCCACCAGATACAGGTTGTGAGAATGAAATTTTTGGTGATGTACAAGAGGGACATGTGTAACGTTTTCTATAAGCAGTTACAGGTTTTATAAATACTGCAAAAGTAATTTAATAGAGGTCAGCATATGAATATGAATGCAATTTTAAAATTTATCTTTTATCTAACATTCTTGACCAAGGGGTCAAGATAGAGACATTTTGAAATAGGGCGAGGCTGGTGGTCAGTTTTTGAGCTGAGTATTTGTTTTAAAATAAACTTTATACCACTGGTGAGTACAATCTCCGATCACTTTTTTATTAAGACCCATTAATCCATAGGCTGCTTCCCTATTTTCTCTTATTCTGAAAAAGAATAACGCATCACAATTGGATAATTAATGAGGTGATCATACTTCCACCTAACGAGCCCATCTGGTAGCGTCGCGTGGAGAAACCCCGGCTTGGACCACCTTTTTGCACTGCCGTATTTGCACCAGTTAAATAGCTCCGAAAACAAGGTCAGACTAAGTTTAATTACTGTTCCGTCGTGAAGCATGTCGGCGACAAGTCTATACCAGCATTAAGCATAGTGGGCAAGGCGATTACCCTTTAGATCTGAAACCAAAATACCTACTCGTTAGCCAGACTCGAGGTTACAAATTGTACTTACCGGTAGGAATCCATAGCTGCACCGCTGCAGGTGTAATCACCCGTTCGACTTTTAACTTAATCTATTTATAATAAATAAAACTTAATTAGCGTAGCACTTCATGCTTGTTTAATTTTTCACTTGCTAAATGATAAATACATTGTGACTACTTTAATGTTTATTAGCACTACCAATACAGCAATTGTTATATACCGGGTAGGTGCTGAGCGATTTGAGTGTTTGGTAATCAGTTTCATAAAGACAAAAGGGAACTGCGTAAGTACCTATTTACCGCATTTAACGTCACTGAGCATTTGTTAACTTACCTAAGATCGCTACCCCAATAAGGCCATATTCCGTTAGCCGTCCAATTTTAATTGTCGAGCGTCAGACTGCAAATCACTTGTGTGAGATCTGTATTTCAAACTATATCCTTGCGAGGTTGTTACCTTATTAGTTACTAACTATTCAAGCCGTGATGTCCCTCCTGTACCTAATTATAAAAAAAATGTCAAAGCCTGTGACTATTGCCTAACTTTAATATACGAACCGTTTAGTGTGACTGGTTAGTTTATTGCCCCAGCCGAGTACCCACGACCCCTGCCTCCTATATTCGAGCTGCCTCCTTTGGCAATTTGTGCCGTTGTTGCACGAGGCAACGTAGGTCACACATCAAGTGAAGATTTTAGATGCTATACAAAATGTTGCAGTTTCCTCAAAAGTTAGTGATAGTGAAATCCAACAAACTATATTCAAAATTAGAGATACTTTTAGGTTTAAATAAGAAGATTAGTTTAGAGACAATCAAAATCGCTTATTGGCAAATAGATAATTTAGATAAGGTCATTAATATTTTTAACAATCCAGCAAAAATAGAATATAATCAACAAGAACAGATCAATGTCCAAGAAAACATTGAACCTCAGATTATATTTTTTGGTTCTCAGAAACGAAAACGGAAAGCTGAAATTTGTTATGCTTTTGGTTCAGAAGAACAAATGATTAAAAGTGCTCTTATGGAAGAAGATGGCAGTGTTATTAACATTAATACAAGCTTTGATCACAAATATACCTCCAATGATGTTTAAATTTATTTTTCATGTGTGTTGTATTACTTATAGCTGGTATATAGGTAGCCTGTAGGCGAATTATTTTATGTAAGCAAGACATTTGTATGCTCACTGATCATCCCATAGTAACATATGTATATCCAGTGCCAAAGCAAAGGATCGATCAGTTAACGTTAAGGGCTCATACCACAATTCAATGTTGTCAGTAGTTAGGATTTTTCCTGCCTTTCCAGAGCTGCTTGTTGATATAAGGTCGCCCGCTGCTACCTGTTTTTAGTTTTAAATTAAATTTAAATTTGTGCTAATGGCAATGAATTGTAAACTGCTAAAGTTATTGTGATCAAATAATGTTTTTTCACTACTAGCGTCTGATGACATGATTATTAACCTTTTTTCCACTTGTAAAGTAGGCTTTCTCGGCATTTGTTCAAAGTGGTTAATAATTTTTTATTATTAACTAGTAGTCAATAATGGGAACTGTCACGCTGTCACTTTTAGAAAACACAACCCGAAATTTCGCTCAATGAACGTTTAGACAAGTTCTCTAAAACGAATAATTGCCACCATTCGCAATTTCCAGAGAAATTACATACCTAAAATTATCACATTTTGAAGAATTCGAACGAAATTACTCTTTGAAAAATCTCAATGACAGAACAAAATACGGCCTGTTTGACTTGTGCTTCCACGTACTTGACTGACATGTTAAATTAAGAAACAAACAATTCTGTCCAACCGTTAACTCTCTTATCAATATAATATGTTAATTTAGAGGATTTCAAGTGCTAGTAGTGAAAAAATAGTATATATACCACGGTAGAGAAGTCTATTATTGCCTTCGCACCTTACACCCCTCGGCGCAAGCGCCTCGAGATGTAATCTTGGTGCTCAGGCAATAATACTATACTTCTCTACCTTGATATAATAATGTACTAT